TAATCACTAGACCATATGGTAGCCTACCAGGCAGGCGTTGGAAATAGTAAGAGGAACAACAACAGGCTGGTTTGAGTGAAATCAGTTCACATAAAGCTTCAATAGCTAGTGATACATACACTTTAATCCTTACATGAAGTTCACACTCGGTTTTGAGAGCATGGCTTTGGGCTCTTTTAAGGAGTTTGGTCTTTTGGGACACCTTTCGGAGTTGGCCTGCATTTGAGAATTTCCACAATTTCTGACCAGATTTCAACTCTGAGTCAGCCTTGCTGTTAAGGTAACAGAGAGAGGGGATTTTAAAATCTTGGGGAAATGCACACAAAGTAGTTTGCACTTCCTGTAATTTCAGAATTAGCAAGGTCAACATTTTTTAAAGTTTATTTATTTACTTTGAAAGAGAGAGAGAAAGAGAGAGAGCATGTGCAAGTGGGGGAGGGGCAGAGAGTGAGGGAGAGAGAGAATCCCAAGCAGGCTCCATGCTGTCAGCACAGAGCCCAACTCAGGGTTCAATCTCATGAATCGTGAGATCATGACCTGAGCTGAAATCAAGAGTGAGACACTTAATTGACTGAGTTACCCAGGTGCCCCATGAGGTCAACATTTTATCCCTCTCTGCATTATGGCTTTTTCTGCTAATCCCAAGGAGATGGGCAGAAAGATGTCAGGGGCTAGAGAGAAACACTGGAAGTTTAAAATGAAAAAAAAATTTTTTTTAATGTTTATTTATTTTTGAGATACAGAGAGAGACAGAGTGCAAGCAGCGGAGGGGCAGAGAGAGGGAGACACAGAATCCGAAGCAGGCTCCAGGCTCTGAGCTGTCAGCACAGAGCCTGACGTGGGGCTCAAACTTACGAACTACAAGATCATGACCTGAGCCGAAGTCGGACGTTTAACTGACTGAGCCACCCTATCTTTCCATGTTTAAGCTCAGTGAGTACCCCTTTGTTCTGCTTAAGCATGTGTATCATATAGCACCTGACCAATGCCAGTGCTATGTCTGTTCCCATGGGATGGGGACAAGGTCCTTCCATGTGGCAAAAGAGAGGTGAACTAGAGCTGAATTGCCCTGTATCACTGCTAGAAAAGACTATGGGGGACGAATAGGCACTATTAAAGCTGATCTTGCCATCTCTTCTCAATGTCAATTCATCATTGTTCCATCCAGTACTTGACTATGCTGTATTTTCCTTGGCAACTCTGATACCAAGATGCGGTGGGCAAAATGTTTGGATTTCTATTTCTGGTGGTTGTCATGGTGATGATTTTTCCTACCCTCCATGTAGTTGGTGTCCTCTCCTGGGATTGGTAGCCAGTGCATGGTGGTTCTGCTCTCTTGGGATTGATAACCAATGCATGCTGCTCTGCTAGACAATGCACATGTGGATTATTTATCTTATTTTTGTCTTTCTAAACACAGTTGAAATAAACATCCCTGTGTTTCCATCTCTGCATGCTTTTCTGAAGTATAATTGTTGGGTCGAAAGGTATGTACAGAGAAGACGTTTCTTTTTTTGAAAAATTTTTATTAGTTTATTTATTTTTTGAGAGAGAGAGAGAGAGAGAGAGCAGAGGAAGGGCAGAGAAGGAGAGGGATAGAGAGAATCCCAAGCAGGCTCCACGATCAGTGCACAGAGCCTGATGTCGCGAGATCATGACCTGAGCTGAAATCAAGAGTCAGGCACTTAACTGACTGAGTCACCCAGGTGCTCCATGAGAAGATGTTTCTAAAACTAGAGATAATTAGACAAATCACAAAAAATAGAAAGACTTTGACTTCATAAGTAATAAATTATTTAAGAAATCTGAATTCAAGGGAAAATGCATCATGAAAATCTCTTTACCCAAAACCCAAATTCTGAATATAGAGTAGGTACATGGGTCAGAGATAGAAACTGATAACTCAGAAAAGTAGAAATGCAAGGATGAACACACAAAAGTCCTGTCTCGTTACTAATCAAAGAAACAAAAACCTAAACTCATAGCATGTTGCCTTTACTTGATCATTAAATTGGCAAATTTTGAAAAGAATGACACTATATGTGTCTCATGAGGGAGCAGTGTGGGAAATTTTAGTAAAGAAATGATAAAAACCAAACATGAAGGTGTTAAGGACAATGATGGATATGGGTAGAGAGGGCTTTTCACACACTACAGAGTTAAAGTCTCAAGAGCTTCTGGACAATCCATAAAGAATTCATTTGCTTTTATTGATGACCCATCTAACTGCTCAAGGGCAGAACTAGCCTCTGATAGTGGCCGGCTCATCAGCAGCCCATTCAAGAAAAGGAAAATGAAGTCCATATTCCCCTAATGCCTAGCTTTTTCCTTCTGTGTCTATCATCTTTCTGTTATGTAACTCTGGTTCTGGTCTTTGTTAGATGAAACCCATATATTACTGGTCTTCCTTGATACCAGTAATTAATGTGCTGGACTATGAGCCATGTGGTCTGTGACTGACTCTATCCTGGTCACCTTAGTGTCAGCAGATCCCAACCATGTGCAGGACTGAGGATAGGAATGTGTCTGTTTTTTTTTTTGTTTGTTTGTTTTTTTTAGTTTACTTATTTATTTTTGAGAGAGACAGAGACAGAGACAGAGACAGAGACAGGAGATAGAGAATCCCAAGCAGGCTCTACACTGTAGTGCTTAACTGATTGAGCCACTTAAGTGCCCCTCGATGTACTTTTTTTGATGGAATGAGACTCTGTCAGTTTTGTGTGGAGATCTGGGTCTCTTCCTGCCCAATTTTTTTCATACATTCTTTTTTCATTCGCATGTGTCACATCAACACCTGGATTTGAAGACCTTCCTGATCCATTCTGTTTCTTCTCTCTCTAATCATTCACAGGCATTACCCCTCTGTGAAATGCTTGCCCATCCTCTGCTTCCCAGAACACCCAATGGACATATTGTGTACATAAGAATGACGTTTGTTGTTTCTGGCTCACCCCATCTCAAAATCCCTTCCAGTTTTTGGAAAATTCTCTATTCTGAAATTCTTGGTGAGGAGCAAGGTTTTGCCATCCATCACAGCAGATGGAAGAGCCATTTATTCTTCCTCACCAAACCCTGAGCTCTAAAGCTTTAACATGTGACTTACTGGATAGTCCTGCCTGGAACTCTGAATCATGAGGAAGTAACACAAAGTCACAAATACCATCAGGAAGTTGTCCACAGTGGTGCCAATGGGTCAAGAGTCCCATGGCAGTGGTCCAGTGCCAGGGTTGCAGGTGTCATTGGGCGGACAATGGAGGCAGCAGCCCCTGGCTGTTAACTCTTTTTTTTTCCCTACTCACAGTCTGAGCCTGTGTCTCCAGAATTCAGAAAATAATATGCACTTATTGATAAACTTACAGCAGCCAGCAGCCCTATATACTTAAGTAGCCAAAATCTGTTCATGTTCCCTAAAATTACAAAACCAACCATTATGGGGACTCATGTGCCTGGGACACATGAGGTTAAGAGAGAGATTCCAAAGAATGGGGTCTCATCCCTGACGCTCTATGTCTCCCACCCTGCATCCAATTAATCAGCAAACCCTGCCAGTTCTATCTTCATAGCGGATTCCAAATCCACCTACTTTTCCCCGCTTGCACAACTGGTATTTCTGCTATCCCTCCCTGAATCTATTCTTCATGCATCAGGTAGAGTTTGCTTTTAAAATAAGTCAGTGTATGGGGGCGCCTGGGTGGCTCAGTCAGTTGAGCATTTGACTTCAGCTCAGGTCATGATCTTGCGGTTTGGGTTTGAGCCCTGCGTCGGGGCTCTGTGCTGACAGCTTGGAGCCTGGAGCCTGCTTTGGATTCTGTGTCTCCCTCTCTCTCTGCTCCTCCCTTGCTCGCACTCTCTCTCTTTCTCTCAAAAATAAATAAACATTTTTAAAAATTACCAAAAAAAAGTCAGTGTGTGCCACCCTATGCTCACCAGGAACCATTATCTCACTCAGACTAAAAGCCCAGGTCCTTATTGAGGTCCATGAGACTCCACACAATCTGGCCTTTTCATGCCCTGCCCTCTTCCCATTTACCCCTACTCCCTCCCTCCCTCCTCCACTCCAACTACAGTCTCTTTGCGGATTCTAGAACACACATGCACAGCCTCCCACCTTACCACTCTGCTGTTTTTAATCTCCTTGCCAGAAACACTTATTCCCAGATACCTGCATAACTTGCTCCTCCAACACCTTGTGAGACCTACCCTGGCCTGATTATAATCCCAAACTTGGAATCTGTGCTGTTCTAACATGCTGTATCATTTACTCATTGGTTATGTTTATTCTTCATTGTCTACCTCTCCCACTAGAATGAAACTCCACCAGGACAGGAGTTTGGGTGTGTTTTGTTCACTGATGGATCCCAAGTACCTGAAGAAGGTACTGGCACATGTTGCGTATTCAATAAACATTGGTTGAGTAAAATGAAATATGAAGGAAAGCTTTCATCCAGCAAGCATGTTGATGGAGTTTGGAAATAGAATAATAGAAGTCAGGGTGGCTGAACTATTCATCAAAATGGAATGAGGAGAATTTGGAACTGGGACTTGTGAAAGAAGTTCCTTCTAGACCAGGAAGGCAGGTTTAGAGGGAGAGAAGATTGATGGAGGTGGGGTCAAGGAGCCAGCAAGACGGTTGAACATGGAGTATTAAGGGGGTGGACCATCAAGTGGGAAATCCCTGGTGGTTGACTGCTAGGTAGGATAATTAGTAACAGGGATGTCTTGAGGGCCCCTGGGTGGCTCAATCAGTTAAGCCTCCAACTCTTGATTCAGCTCAGGTCATGATCTCACTGTTGGATCAAGCCCCGGGTCCGGCTCTGCGATGACAGTGCGGATCTTGCTTGGGATCCTCTCTCTCCCTCTCTCTTTGCTCCTCTCCCTCCTTCTACCCCGCCTACCTCTCAAAAATAAAGAAATAAACATTAAAAGAATAACAGGGATGTCTAAAATGTCATTTTAAGTTGTTTTCTAAGTCCTACAGTGATAGCACACACAACACACAAGAAGCCTGCTACACACAACAGTCTTGATACTCTGGCTGCATTTATCTTATTTTATTTTATTTTATTTTATTTTATTTTATTTTATTTTATTTTATGTGGGAGATGATAATCAGGGAGAAGATTGGTGAACTACATTTGGGTCACTATCAGTGCACACCTACACATGAAGACATAGAATCTACAGCAAGAATTTGGTGGAGATGGGAAATGCGGGTGGAGGGGAGCATGAGAATGCAAATACTCCAGGTTGTTGCTGAAATCTGGGACAGCGCATTGCTTTTCTACTGGATGCAGCCGATACACAGCTCAATATTTGCAGGTGACCCTCACTGACCTGCAGAGCCATGACAGTAGAAATAGTACCTTCTCTTAGAGCTGTTGGGAGAATTTAGAGATGAGGTGGTGCACCTGTACCGGTGGAAAGAGCTGTGTTCTCCCACGGTTCCTTTCGCGCCCAATAGGGGGCGCTCAGCGGGCTTTGAGGCAGAGCTCATAGGTCGGAGGGATGTTGCCAAAGCCTGAGACCCTGGGTGTGATATCTATGTCATCCGGAGGCACCAGCGGGTGTAAAGAGAAGTTCTGAAGGATGGAGGTGAAGTACAGAAAGAGTTCCATGCGGGCCATGGCCTCGCCCAGGCAGATGCGCTTTCCTGTGGGCACAGGGGAGGGCGAGAAGTCGGCTCATATCTGCACTGGGATGATAAGGGTGTGGGGAGCTTTCTGGCCCCATCACCCTTCTGACCCTGCTCAGCATCCCTGGGGTCATGATAATACCTACTTTGTGGGGTTATTATAAAGACTCTTACAGAGAGTGCTCAGCTTGGATTTGCCATTTATAAGGGGGCTCAACACGTGGCAGCTACTTCTCTGATGGTTTGATTCCACCAGATCCCAAGATGGAATGGTTCTAAAAAATCCTTGAATTTGAAGATTCTGTGCATTTCAATTTCTCAAAGCTTTATCAAATGCCTACTAGGTGCCAGATACTAGTGAGGAAAAAAAATTTTGAAAAGAAAGCTCACACTTAAAGAGTGCTTACTATTTGTTGGTCACTCTTCGAATAGTTTGGAGAAATGAATCTCCATTTTAAATATTTTTCTTTTTAATTTTTTAGAGAGAAAGAGAGCACGTGCAAGTGAGCGAGGGAGGGGAAGAGAGAGAGGGAGGCACAGAATCCCAAGCAGGCTCCAGGCTCTGAGCTGTCAGCACAGAGCCCAGTGTGGGGCTTGAACTCACGAACTATGAGATTATTTTTTTTTTTTTTAGGGAGAGAACACAACCATAAGCTGGGGAAAGGTAGAGGGGAGAGCGGGGGGGCCGGGGGGGAGGGGCTCTTAAGCAGGCTCTACCTTCACCGCAGAGCCAGTGGTTGGGCTATATCCCAAGACCCTGGGATCATGACCTGAGCCAAAATCCAGAGTTGGAAGCTCAACCAACTGAACCACCCAGGTGCCCTATGATTCTACCATTTGTAAATGATGGGGTGGGGTCCTCTTTCCTAACCACAGCACTGACTCCAGGTTCAATGTGGTTTATACTTAAAATACTATTCTAAGCTAGTATGTCATGGGTCACAAGCTACTGTTCATTAGGCAAAACCACCTGCTGCCTATTTTTGTACTGCCTGTAAACTATTAAAAAGAAAACCACAGGCCCAAAATGGAATCACTTATGTTAGGTCAAGTCATCAAACCAGGCTCAATATCTAACCTAATGGCAGTTTCAACCTCCCCTCCTGAAATGGAGTCTTAACCAGTTAGGAATTGTTTGATCAACTCCAATGAGGTGAGCTGTCACATGTACCTTCTCCATCCCCCAAAGGAAAATGAGGTAATTCATCTAATAAGGCCCCCTGCTTTTCCCCTAGGGGAAGGTGACCTTGCCTGAAACAATCCTTTCTGTTCCTTTGCTAATAACTTCTTGGCCACCCTCCTTCCTATAAAGACCTTCCATTTCTACAAATCACTTAATAAATCCAATTATATATTCAAATTCACTCAACTGAATATTTGTTCTTTAAGAAAACTAAGAATGCAGGGGCACCTGGGTGGCTCAGTCGGTTAAGCGTCTGACTTTGGCTCAGGTCATGATCTTGCAGCCTGTGAGTTCGAGCCCTGCATCAGGCTCTGTGCTGACAGCTCAGAGTCTGGAGCCTGCTTTGGATTCTGTGTGTGCCTCTCTCTCTGCCCCACCCATGCTCATGCTCTGTCACTCTCTGTCTCTCAAAAATAAATAAACATTAAAAAATTTAAAAAATATACTTTAAGAAAATTAAGAATGATTTTCACATTTTAAATGGTTGAAAACAATCAAAAGAAAGGTAACATTCTGTGACATGTGAATTCAATGAAATTTAAATTTCTATGCCTATTCAAATTTCATAAATAAAGGTTTTTGGCATCACAGACTTTCTCATGCATTTTTGTACTGTCCGTGATCACTTCTGCAGGACAGTGGGGCAGTTGAGTAGTTCAGACTGTATAGTTCAGACAGATACAATATGGCCGGTAAAAACTAAAATATTTTCTATTCCATCCTTAACAAAAAGAGTTTGCTGACCTCTGTTTAGTGCTACTCCTTTTCTAATTATCAGAGTCAATGCTTCTAATATCCTATGATTCCAAGATTCTGGGATTCTGGGAAATAGCATTCAACTTCCATTCAGACTTGAATGTCAAATACAGACCAATGGTTGGGGGGGGCACATCTAGCATGTTCCTGGGGTGAACTCAGGCCATAGAAACCTACCAGAGGAAAAAGGTACAAAGGCTTCATTTTTCTTGAAGCGGCCCTGCTCATCCAGGAAGTGTTGGGGATAGAAGGCATCTGGGTTGCGGAAGTATTTGGGGTCTTTGAGGACAGAGCCAAGTAGAGGGAACACATCGGTGCCCTGGGATGAAAATGGAAAGTTATGAGAAATCAGTGTTGGAGGATGGGAGCGGGGTACCAGGGGGAGAGATGGGTGGGGTAGAGGAAGAAAGGGTAACAATGAACCCAACTCCACCTTGGGCAGAAGGTAGCCTCGGAAATGAGTGTCCCGGATGACATTATGGGGGACACCCATGGGTACGATATCTGTCAGTCTCTGTATCTCATGGATCACAGCGTCTGTGTAGGGCATCTTGGCTCGGTCATCCACACTTGGGATTCGGTGTGGTCCAATCACCTGGTCAATCTCTTCATGGATCTTGGCTAGAAGGGGCCAGAAAACAAAGCAGACAAAGACACAGGGCGTGTTTCTAAAAGCCAAGGCTAGGCTATGGGTTTGTATCTTTAATACCTGTGGACCCTGAGGGAGCCAACCATGCGTGTTTGCATTGCCCCTTTATTCTTAACACCTGACACATTGGTGGGCTTAATAAATACTCGTCAGACCATTGGGAGGCACACAGCCTGGAGCCTTGAGTGCCCACTGGGACGTTTGGTATTTATCTTGAAAGCACGAATGAGCAGGTCAGTGTCCCCACCCGAGATAGGCTTTCATACACAGGCTTTTGACAGACTGGGAAAAAAGTACAATACATAACGAGGATAAGATGGAAGCAAGTGACAGCAATTATGTAACAGGAATTAAGAACACTGTTGGTGCAGTTACCCCTCCCTGCACCTCCTGGATGAGTGACCTTGAGGCAAATGGCTTTACCTTCTGAGCCTGTTTCTTCATCTTCCAAATGGGTGTGATGGTCCAAGTCCACAGAGTTGTAAAATTTACATAAAATCCAGTATGCAAGTAACTAGAACAGCACCTAGCACATAGCAGGTGTCCATTAAATATGTGATTATTTAGATTAGTAAAACATGACTAGGACAATGGAGGAGAGACTAGAAAAGTTTGAGTGGAATCAAGTTAATCTCTCCCATCATCTATAATGAGGAAAAATTTTTTTGGCTTGTTTTGAACTGCATTAGAAGGGAGAGAGGCCAAAATTAGGGGTTTTCCTTAAGCAAGGAATAAGTTCCTCATCGCTAGAGTTACCCAACCAGACCAGATTGCAATTTGTTGGAGATGGAGTCTGTCTGATTCTGGCACTATAGTCAGCTAAATAATTTCCATCAAATATATCTACCTCCTAATCCCTGGAACCCATGCATGTTACCACATAGGACAAAAAAGACTTTTAAGACATCATTAAGTTAAGGATCTTGAGATGTGGTGATTATCCTGGATTATGCAGGTTGGCCCTAAATATAATCACAAGTGTCCATATAAGAGGGAAGCAGAAGGGTCAGAGTCAGAGAAGAAGATAGGACAACTGAGGCAGAGAGATCTGAAGATGCTATGCTACTGACTTTGAAGATGGAGGAAGGGTCATGAGCCCAGGAATGCAAGAAATACAGCTCTCAGAGCTGAAAAAAGCAAGGAATCTGATTCTACCTTGGTTTGGCCCAGTGAAAACCTGTGTGAACTTCTGAACTCCAGCACTGTAAGATAATAGTTTTTGTTAATTTATTATGACAGCCATAGGAAACTAACATAGGCACCAAGTAGAAGATTCAATTAAATGGCCTTCCAAGCCAGAGATTGTGAGATTCCATATCCCGAGATTCTGAAGTGTGAAGAGTGTAAAGCTATGGGGTTATAAAGTATTGCGTGTACATCTTCTTCTCTGTTGGGAGTGGGAGTCACCAGGTAAGCAGTTCAAGTGGACCCTCACCTTCCACCTCAGGATGCTTCATCATTAGCAGCAATCCATAACGTAGTGTAGAGCTCACAGTCTCTGTGCCCGCAAAGAAGAGGTTGAGAGTGGTGAGGACCAAGTTCTTGAGATTGAACTCCGTGTGGGGATTATTTTTATCCTGAAAACGAGAGGGATAGGAAATCGAATTACCTTCTGTCTTTATCTTCTTCTTTTCTCCCTTTGTGAAAACACAACTGATGGGTAAACTAAGTGGGTATCTGGGAGAGGAAATAGCCAAAGCAAAGTTCCTGGGGCAAGAGGGTGCCTGGTGTGTTAGAGAAATAACAAGGAGGAGGCCAGTGCGGTTGGAGTGGACAGTGAGGGGAACAGGAGGAGAAAAAAGTACAGATTTGAAAGTTCTAGGACATTAAGCTATATAATTATAAACTTCCAAGTGCTGAGGTTTGTATAATAAAAAATATATATGTTTCTAAAATTCTAAGACTCTGTGATACAGAAGTTAAATTTCTACATATTGAAGACTTTTTTATAAATTTTTTTCAACGTTTATTTATTTTTGGGACAGAGAGAGACAGAGCATGAACGGGGGAGGGGCAGAGAGAGAGGGAGACACAGAATCAGAAACAGGCTCCAGGCTCTGAGCCATCAGCCCAGAGCCTGACGCAGGGCTCAAACTCACGGACCGCGAGATCGTGACCTGGCTGAAGTCGGACGCCCAACCGACTGCGCCACCCAGGCGCCCCCATATTGAAGACTTTTAAGTTTAAATTCATGCTTAAAGACTTAAAAGTCTAAGCTTCTCAAATTCTAAGACTAAAGACTGGTTTTCTGTATTTGTAAGTCTCTGGTAGTTGTAATCATAAATGATTTAAAAGGGGTCAGGTTTTAAGTTTCATTGCTCCTAAAATTATTAGATTCAAAGTTTATTTTAAAGGTGTAAGAGTTTATGTATGCTTTTACAGTTTCTATATCTCATCCATAAATAAAAGTCAACCATGTGAAACAATACTTTCTCTTTTGTCTATAACACGTTTATAGGTTAAAGTTGCAGTTTATAGGCTAATGATAATGAGAGGAAATGATTGGGGAAAAGGGAAGAAGTACCTGGTGCATCTTGATGAGGAAGCAGTCAATGAAGTCCCGAGGGTTTTGTGGGTCAAGAGATACTTCGTTGATCTTGACCCTCGAGGCAATGAAGTCCTTGAGCTCCTCTATCAAGTAGTAGATGCGATTGTGTCTTCCTGGCAAATATTGCATGACTCCAGAATACATGTCATATAGCTGTGGGGAATAGGCAAAGAGGGTTTGTCAACAATGGGCACCTGGGGTCGGCATAGGCTGAGTCTGGAGCCAGATAGTCAGGCTGAACATCCAGCACTGGGTCTGAGGATTGGGTGAGTCCATTTGCTTCTTGGAGACTCAGGGCATATTGATACTTGCCTCCCTGGGCTGTGGGGAGGATTAAGCGAGGTATAGGCAGATGCTTAGTTAACTGAGATTGGGGGTGGGCAGGGAGGTGGCTGGTGGGCACCTGGGCCCAGGGTGTGCTCATCTCAATGAAACTCTCATTGATCATCTGCAGCAGCTTCAGGAACTGCTTGTCTTCATAGTCAAAGCGGCTTCCAAAGACGACAGAACTGATGACATTTGAGACAGTGCGGCTCAGGAAGAAGGTGGGTTCGATGGGGGAACCTGGGTGATAGAAATTGTCTATGTTAGAGGCAATGATTAGGAGCATGGGATGGGGAATGATTCAGTCACAGATATGAGTCCTGACTCCACTGGTTCATAGCACGTGTTAGTTACTTCATTTGTTTTGTTTTGTTTTGTTTTGTTTTGTTTGTATTTTGAGTCTAGATTTCCCAGTCTGCAAATTGGTTTAGTAACCACTAAACCTGAGGTTTCAATATAATTATCCATGTGAAATGCTTAGCACAGTCCCTGCATGTAGTAAGTACTCAGAAAATGCTAGTGGAGTTTAATCATCACCTTTTGGCATTAGTATTTAATTAATTGTGTTTGTGCGTAGAGTCACAGATTTGGGAAAGAAGTTGTGGTATGGGACACATTAGGGGAAAAAAGGATGGCTGAATTCTGTGTATCTCTATCAATGACTCCATTTGAGCTATTAAGAAAAATTTTCCCTTGGCCTCAGCTGCACCATTTAAAATAGGATTCTGGGGGTGCCTGGGTGGCTCAGTCAAACATCGGACTTCAGCTCAGGTCATGATGTCACTGCTCGTGGGTTTGAGTTCCACATCGGGCTCTGTGCTGACAGCTCAAAGCCTGGAGCCTGCTTCTGATTCTGTGTCTCCCTCTCTCTCTGCCCCTCCCCTGTTCATACTCTCTCTCTTTCTTTCAAAAATAAATAAACATTAAAAAATAATTTAAAAAAATTAAAAAATAAAACAGGATGCTGGATTGGGGGACAATTTCTCCAACACAACGCTTCATAGTCACAAATACACAATTTTGCAAATAATTTCTGGGGGTACATGAATGTTCAAAGCCTTTATGTAGACTGTTTAGCATCCATGAGACCCAGAAGAAAAATCTCTGATTTTGAGAAATTTATCTATCTCTTATCTATCCATCTCTGTAGTTCTTAGCTTCCATGTCTTTTCTTCTCCAAATCCCATTGGTTCCAGACCTTATTTTGGGGCAGCGATCAGACTCCTTAAAAAATATAATCAAATGGGCTTAAGAGTTTCAGATCTGCAAGATGAAAAAATTCTAAAGATCTGTTTCACAACAATGTAAACATACTCAACACTGAAAAGTACACTTAGGAATGGTTAGGATGGTAAAAATTTATGTTATGTTTTTATTACAATTGTATGTATGTGTTATATGTATACAGATATATGTAATTAAATTTGATCCTGTCACCAGAAAAAGGTGCTAATTTACACATTGTAAAAGTCTGCATATGATTTCAGGAGCTCATAAAATTCTTGAGATCCACTGATTAAAGCTTCTGCACAAGTGGTCTTGAAGGGTCTTTCATGTTAACTTTTAACATGGAACCTGGCTGGAAATCTTAGTGAACCCTTAGTCTTTTTCATCCTTTCCCATTCTAGAGCTTTCTCCCACCAAGGCCCATCTGCTCACGACTGAGCTCTCTATAACCATTCAGTCATCTTGTAGCCCTGCCCCTTGTGACCTCCATACCCTTGGTCTTCCGTAATTCTTCTAGTAAGAAGCCAGCCTCCTCCTGGATCCGCTCCTCAATGCTCCGTTTTCCCATCCCGAAGTCCCGAAGAATGGTCAGGGAGAAGCGTCGGAGAATCCTCCATCGTTCTCCATTAGCCAGAGCTACACCTGCCAGAATCCCAATGTCAGCCTCCTGCCTCCCCTCCCCTTCCTGTGTCCAACTCTGTGATACACAAGGATTGGGATAAATTATGAAAGCTCTAGACTCTGCTCTCAAGGAAGCCCCTCCCAACTTCCTAGGCTTGATGGAGAGACTGTGGTTCCCTCCCTACAGGACCTCAAAAACAGTCTAGGATTGAGATGGAGGGAAAGGAAATTAGGCTGGCAATGATTGGGGGAGATGAAGGAGAGTTTCTTACAGGATAAAAGCCCAGAACAGGATAAATAACTGGATGGATGCATAGGAATGTGGAGGGAGGTACAGATAGAATGCCATACACAATATCCTGGAATGGGGGACTCCTTCTATTTTCTCATACCATTTGGATTCTCTAGACATAAGCATGCATATACACAGAAGCTTACACCTGTACATCAATATACCTACACAAAAGGAATTCCCTTCTAGTAAGAAACATTTAGAAATTACTAGATGTGCATGGATTGATGAATTAATGTTTGGAAACTTAATGAATTATTTCAGTGGATTAATGAATGGAAGGAAGAGCTTTTGACTGGAATGACTGATGAACGGAGAAAGACTCAATGGATGAATAAAGAGTTAATAATAGATAGTTTGAGATAAGAGTATAATTGGTTGGAAAGATATAAGGATGGAAAGATTAATAGATGAGTGAATGATGGAAAGATTAATGAATGAATGGATGAATGATGGATGGAGGGGTAAATGGAAAGTTAATTCATAGATGTCTAGATAAATTGGATAGAAAGATATTTGATAGATAAATTGGATAGATAGATAAATTGGATTTGATAGATAATTTGGATAAAAAGATAGATGCTTGGGTGGCTTAGTTGGTTGAGCATCTGACTCTTGATTTCAGCTCAGGTTATGATCCCAGGGTTTTGGGATCAAGCCCCCCGTTGGGCTCCACACTGAGTATGGAGGCTGCTTAAGACTCTCTCTCCCCCTCTGCCCCTCTCTCTTGCTCATGAACTCTCTTCTCTAAAAAAATAAAGAAAGAAAGAATAAGAAAGGCTAATTATTAAATGGATTTTTTGGTGGATGTATGGGTCAATGGAAAAGTGGATAAATGGAAGGAGATGTATGTGGATGGATGGATAGAAGGAAATATGGAAATAAGAGCATGACAGAGCTTGGAATTGAAAGGTGTGGGCAGTTACAGATGGGTGTATAGATAACACTAAAAAGATATCTACTTAAATGGAGGCGGCAGAGACCTATGGGTTGAATGTGTGTATATGTATAGAGAAATAAGAAGTTTGGCTATAAGGGCTTCAGTGGATACACATTAAAAACAAAAGTAATGGGGCTGATACTCAAGAATCAGAGGGCTTGGGTTCAAAACAAAATGGTTCTACCACTTACTATATATTACCTAACCTTTCTCACCCTCAGTTTCCTCATTTGCAAAATTAGTAAGACATTAATATTCTCTCAAAGGAGTCAATGTAATAATTCATGTAGAGCACTTATCAAAGAACTGGGGACATAGGGAGTGTATAATCATTTTGTTGTTGTTGTTACTTACCATAACCTTGGAAGTTTCGCTCTATTGAAGCCAGTTCTCCACGGCCACTGAACTCATCAGCTCGGTCTACCAGGGCCTCCTTCACTGCCTCATGTCCACACAAAACAACTACAGGCCGTGGACCCATGTACACAGTGAAGACTGGGCCATACTTCTCCCTGAGCTAGGAGTGAAGGAAGACATAAGAGGAAGGAGCTATCTGGAGCACCAAGTATAGACCAATCAAGGACTTTAGGGGTGGAAATTTCAAGGGAACATAAATGTGGGAATAACAGATAAAAGTGAGTCTTGGGCTTGGAAGGACTATTGAGAAAAAGGCACAGATGCCTTGGATCCTGTGATCCTGGGTAAGACACCACCCCCCCAACACCTCCATAAGCCTTAGTTTCCTCATCTGTAAAATGGTGGACCTGGGTGAGCTAAGCTCCAAGATCTATGCTTCTCTATCTGCAATGCTTAATTTCTAGAACCTTAAGATTTCATGATACTGAGTGTCAACGTTCTAAGATCATCAGAGAGCATGAGTTCTTGTGTTTAAGGGTGTAAGGTGCTGTGATTCCAAAGTCCTGAGATTGTGAGAGTCTTAAGTTCCAGTGTGCCAGGAGTCTGTGTTTCCAAGAGTTTAAGATTCTGCAATTTCAGTATTCTAAGGTTTATGAAGTCTATGTTTCCAAGAGTCTGTGTTTTGGACATTAGAAGGTTATACATGTTTCTATGGAATTCATTGCTTTTGGCTCTGTGAGAGGAGTAGTCAGACTTACCTTCATGAAAGACTGAAAAGTGGCATCAGTACGGACTTGCAACAGGTTCCCCAGGAAAGGTATTGGTGTGGGACCAGGGGGCAGCTTCCCCCCCTTGTGTCTCCTTTTCCAGGCAATGAGGATAAGTAGGCAAGACAAGGAGAGTGCCAGAAAGATGGTGAAGGCCCCTCCCAGCTCCATGGTGCCAGGTTGAAGGGTTGTGTCCAGGGCACCAGATCCTTCTTAAATATGTTCTGGAAAATCAGCTGTGCAGAAATCTGAACACCCTGAGATTCAAGTTTTCCGGGTAGGGATGCCATTAGAGAGGATATTGCTTTATCTGGAGGGTGGTTATATAACCTATAATCACCCACCTGAATAAAGGTGGATTGAATTCACCCAGGGAAATCCAGTGGGGCCATCCCTCTTTCTTTATATTTCCAGTCCCCCAGCTCAACCTAGTTCAACATGTCCTGGTAGGATATGGGAGGCAGTTGAACATCATTTTTAGGCTGTCGTGTTTAGGAATCAGATAATCTGGGTTCAAATTTCAGCTCCACCTTTTCTTCACTGGGTAGGGCGCCTAACCTTCTTGGCCTCAGTTTCCCGATCTGTCAAAAATAGGGTAACCACACTGTCTTAGAAAGTCTTGGTAGAGAACAAAGATGACTCCTTTCTCTTTGCCAGACCCTAATTCATCAATTAAAAAAAAAATACAGTAAGATGAAGATTTGGAATAGCAAAAGAAATAACTCAGTTGAAAGGGTTTTATTCAACAAGTTCTCTTGTTTCTACTCAAAGTGCTACCATTGCTAAATGGTAATAATCAAAGATTACTTGTGTTGATTTAGCAGGACTTTTCTGGTGTGTGTCTGTGTGTGCACATTTATTTTCAAAGTCTAAGATATAGAGGCCACCTCTGAGCCCCACCTCTAGAAACATGGCCTACTGATTGCTGTCTGTTTATCTAAATAAACAGTTTTCAGCACTTTTTGTACCAAATACCTGCCAATCTTCTTTACTGTTCTGAAACAAAATTCCTGGGTATTATATCCTACCTATACATGTTATTAAACAAAATCAAATGCCCTTCTCATGTGTCCAGATTCTCAGACTTGGAAAATAAATCCCTTAGCGAACCTGCAGGTTTTGGAATAAGACCTGGCTGGCTGGGCTGAGGTATGCTGTGTCCAAGAGAAGTAGTGGGGATTCTGTGAAAACTGAGTGACTCCCAGTGCACCACCTTTTGGATCTTCTATGGGCCACCAGGATGTCTTTTGTGGGGTAAGAGTTAGCTTTAGGCTGCCTCCTATGACCCTCACAGTTTTGGCTTCTCCCTTCCATTCTGACCTCCTTCCCGACACACACATACACTTACACCCATTCTGGAATAGTCCTTAATTAATTGTCTGTGATGGTGGTGGTTGAGTCTGGTCTTTCTGTTCAGACAGGAAAAGAGAAAGTGTCCTTAGAACAGCCCCCTTCACCATCCCACTCTAGGCAAGAAGCCAGGAGGAGAGACACTTGAACTAAACGGTGCAAGCAAGTTAAAGAGGAAAATTAACTGCAGAGAAATGCATGGACAGGCAGATTGTGCCAAGATAGAGACCAAGACTGGAGAGAAACAAAGGAAAAAAGAAAGGTGCAGAGAAACAGAACCAGACTGAGATCAAAATAGAGCGGAGAGAGACAGAGAATGAGTCAACTATAGGTATCAAGGAAGACACAGAGACCAAAGGAAATTCAAAGAAACAGAGAGAAGGAGAGACAATCAGAAAAAAAACAAGGAAGCTTCAGGAGACAGACCTAGAGACTGAGAAAGAGAAACATGGCCAAGAAAGAAGAAACAAGAGGAACCTAGAGAGCTAGCACCCCCTCCCTCTCTCTCCTCCTCTCTCAATCATTACCAAAAACCATTGACTCAGAGGCGGAGATGGTCAGGGAGACAAGTCAAAGCAACAAAGAGATACGGAGACAGAGAAACACCCAGAGCAAAGTGAAATGGAGAAACAATGATTTGAGCTTCACAGGGTGTGTGTATGAAATGGAGCCTGGATCCTTTTATGCCTAGCCATCTGCCCCTCCTTCTGGGACCAAGACATGCTATGATGCTACCAGGGATGTCATTATTTATTTATTGTCATCTTTGTGCCAGGCACTGAGTTGTGTGCCTAACAAGCAGGATACCTTCTAACCCAAATGAGCAGCTTACAAGGCAGGACACGTGGATAATGGCATACGGGAGGCAACACTCTAGGGGTCTGGAGACTGACATGAAACCCTTAGGAAAGTGAGCCTCTCCCTCCTGGAGCCTTCCTCCTCTGTATTTGGGATATGATAACATGAGTACCTCCTTCATAGGATTTTTGAAGTTTGCCACAGAATAAAGAGCTCAACCGATGTGAGGTTTTTAGCATCATTAGATGGTTGTAAAATAGCATGATCCTAAGATTGTCTGAATACACCTTGGACAGTATCTGTGCCTCAGTTTTCTCATCTGGAAAATGGTACAAATGATTGTATTGATCTTTTGGGGTTTGGGACTATTCAGTGAGTTATGGCACACAGCAAGTACTTAACAAATTAGTTAAAATGAAAATTACAGCACCACTGGTCAAGGAGCCAGGACCAGGAAAAGCTGAGTGGAGAAAGGACATGGAAATCTGGAGAAATCACTTTTGGCTGTGGTAGAAGGGAGAATGCCTAGAACTGATTTTTTTTTTTTTTTTTTTTTTTTTTAAGGAGGCAAGTTAAGTGTCTGGGAGATCATCATGCATCATCTAAGAAGACCCATTATGGGAGGTGTTTTATGGGATGGTTCCAAGACTGAGATAAACAACTTCTCCAAGTTGGCATTTTTTTTTAATTTTTATTTTTTAATGTTTATGTATTTTTGAGAGAGAGGGAGAGAGAGAGAGAGAGAGACAATGAGCAGGAGAAAGGCAGAGAAAGAGGGAGACACAGAATTGGAAACAGGCTCCATACTCTGAGCTGTCAGCACAGAACCCGATGCGGGGCTCAAAGCCATGAACCACGAGATCATGACCTGAGCTGAAGTCAGATGCTTAACCAACCGAGCCACCCAGGCGCCCCAAGCTGGCAATTTTCTAAGATTCTGTGGTTCTCAGAATCTGTTCTAATTTTTGAGATTCTGGAATTCTATGATTTTCAGCTTTCGGTGATCTGTGGGTTCTTCCAGTTGGAAGTGGAGATGAGCTTTAGAGAAGGGAGGAACTGTGGGGAGAGGGGCAGAATGACTTCTCACCTCCTCCTGGATGTTTTCAGCAGCAGCAGGAAGGTACAGCTGGTGCATACATGTTGCTCTCCTTCACAACCAAAATAAACTTGTAAAGTCTTAGGAACCACATTCTAGATGGTGACTGTGGTGTAGGGATCATTTTTCTATTGGGGAATGGGAAGGATAGTAAATGGGGCTTCTGAATTTCTTTTCTTCTGCTAAGAAAAATTATTCAGAAATTATTCAAAAACAATCTAATAAAGAAAAAAATGATTATAGGACTTTTTCATGTCAAGCTAGGCATACTTTCTAACAGGTCCATTTAAAGATAATCTCATTCCAAAATTGGAACGTTACTTTGTTTACACAATTAACCAGGGTCCAAGGTTTTTACAATTCTGCCAAACAGCTAAGTCGTGATGACTATCTTTTCTGTTTGGTAGAGATGGTGACCCTCCACCAAAATTAAAAAAAAATAATGATGCCATAAAATCAGACAGTAGTAATTTTGTGTTTAACTCAGAACTTCTTTTTTTTCCTATAAAAATCCTAGTGTTTTATTTGTCTTTTGAACCAGCTTTGTTTACATCTGGTTCCCTCATTAATGGATTAAATAATCTTTGCCACGTGTATATCTACTTTGAGAATTATGTTCTTATCATTTTGAGAATTATCCTTCCTTTATTTTCCTCATTTTCTTCTTCTCTTCCTTTCTGTCTCCCTTCACTTTTCCCCTCCCTCCATTCCCCCCCTTCTTCTCATTTCTTTCTCTCTCTATCCTCCTTCTCCCTTCTCTTCCCTCTTTTGAAGACTCTCCTCCCTATCTTCCTTCTTTCTTCCTTGATTCTCTCTCATCTTGCTGCTTCCCTCATTTTGTCTTTTCTCTCTTCTTTCTTTCTTCCCCCATCTTCCAACCCTTCCTCTACCAAATGGTGTAACATGTGCATATCTGTAATGCCAGGAGAAGACGAAGAAGAGAGACATAACGGGACAGTGAAAATATTACAAAAAAGAATGGCCAAGTTTTTTTCCCCAAAAGTAGCAACAGACACCAAACCACAGATTCAAGAAGTTCAAAGAACACCAACTGAGTAAATACCAAAAACCCACATGTAAGTGTATTATATTCAAACTTCAGGAAACCAAAGACAAAGAAAAAACTTTGCAGGAAGCCAGAGGAAAAAATACACCTTACCTATGAGGAACAAGGATAAGTACAACAAACTTTTCTCAGAAATCATGCAAGCAAGAGGGGTGCCTGGGTGGCTCAGTCAGTTAAGCGTCTGACTCTATGTTTTGGCTCAGGTCATGATCTCATGGTTCATGAATTTGAGTCCCACATTGGGCTCCTCACTGACAGCGTAGAGCCTGTTTGGTATTTTCTTTCTCCCTCTCCCTCTGCCCCTCCTGTCTCTCTCTCAAAATAAATACATAAACTTAAAAAGAAATCATGTGAGCAAGAAAAAAATGGAGTGACATCTTTTAAGTGTTGACAGAAAAAACTGTCAATCAAGAATTCTATATACAGTATTCTGTATACTGTGGAGTAAAAACATCATTCAAAAGTAAAGGAGAAATTGTAATAGTGATGTATGTGTGGCAGATGGTAGCTATATGTGTGGTGAGCATAGCATAATATATAAACATATTGAGTCACTATATTGTACACCTGAAACTAACGTCATGTTGTGTGTCGACTAAACTCACATTAAAATCATTTGTTAAGTAAAGGATAAATGAGCACGGTTTCAGTTTGGGATGATGAAAAAACTGGAAATGGATAGTGGTGATGGTTGCACAACATTGTGAATGTACTTAATGTCATTATACTGTACACTTAACAGTGATGAAAATGGTTTATTTTATGTTACATATATTTTACCAAAATGTAAAAATGAAGGGCAAATAAAGACTCTCATAGACAAAAACAAAACAAAACAAAACAAACTAGGGCTGGGGGAAAGGGGTTATATTGCCCCCATACTTATCCTTATAAGAAATATTAAAGGAAGGGGCTCCTGGGTGGCTTAGTCAGTTAAGCGTCGGACTTCGGCTCAGGTCATGGTCTTGTGGTTTGTGAGTTCGAGCCCCATGATGGGCTCTGGGCTGACAGTTCAGACCCTGGAGCCTGCTTCAGATTCTGTGTCCCCTTCTCTCTCTGCCCCTCCTCTGCTCATGCTCTGTCTCTCTCTCAAAAA